TTGCGACCCGGGACAAAAAAAAAAAAAAAAAAAAAAATCCAAGGGGACGGACTAGTTGAGCATGGTGGTACACCCCTGTAATCCTAGCAGTTAGGAGGCTCAGGCTGTCACAGGTTCAAGACCAACCAGCCTGGGGTACATAGTTAGTTCGTTCATCATCAGAACTAAAACTGAACTAAAGGGCAAGACTCTACCCACAAAAAAATCCAAGTGGATATTTCTCTCTGCTTTCAAATACGACCCTTTTCTCACCATCTCCAGGGCAGCAAGATCCAAAGACTACGGGCCACTCTCCAGTATCTCCTGTCCCGCAACACATCCCAGCAAGAAGACACTCTCACTGCTCCCAAAACATACCAAATTTCTGGCTTGCCTGCCTTATTCCCCTCCCTCCACAAGGCCCCCAGTCCTCCTCACCCTCTAGACAGGAACCTCCTCTTTGGGCCTCAGCTACATACAAACTCATGTTTCAGCACTGACAACAGTAATTACTCCCCACCCACCCTCTCCCTCATATTTCCAATCGCAACTTCCTAGAAGCCAGACAGGGTGTCTTATCTCTGATGTTCAAGGTCCCAGCAGAGTTGTGGGCCAATAAATAGACCAAAACATGTTAAGATCAAGGTGGTGCTAATACCTTCCAGCACCATTCCAAAAAGGCAAGGCGTTCACCCAGAGGATGATAGCAAGGGCAGCTTATAGCAGCTCCCATCATCACAGGTAAACTCAAGTAGACAGAATACTTTACAACTGAGACTGGTACTCCAGTCTACTGCAGTCTCTCTCCAAGCCTCTTGAAAGCCAGTTCAATCACCTGTACACCTGCAGAAACTACAGGACAACTGCCCTCTAGGGTGGGAGGAGGTAAATTGACACCCTCCTCCAACAACCTGCAATAGGGCAAGCTTTCCAAAATGCATACTGGTAAAAAAAAAAACCTTGACTCTAATGACCAGTGAATAATGGGAGGATCCTGACCGAGGGTCATCAGAAGAAAAAAAAAAAAAAAAACTACAGACAGCAAAATACAGCCCTGCATTCAGCCTCCACAGGTACAACTAAGAGTTTAGGCCACACATGGATACCTGCAACTGCCAGTTCATTCACTGGTCGCCCTGCTCCCACCACCTCTCCACAGAGCAGCGAGATGATGTTTCGAAACACTACCAATGATTAGAACACATTCCCATATGACACCCTCCAAAAGCTTTCCATCTATTTGGAATCCAAGACTTTTTATCAATAAGTTCAAAATCCAGGGCCCAGGATTTAGCTCAGTGGTTCAGCTGCCTGCCTTGCAAGGGCAAGGACCTGAGTTTGATCCCCGGTGCCCCTCCCCCACAAAATTTCAAGATCCAACCCCTTCCCCCATTTCACCTACTGCCCACTTCAGTTACTACATTCCAGAAGAGAAACTCAGTTTCTTGGATCTGGCCAACATCCAGGCCTTTTCCTTTGCTATTCACCTTGCCTGAAAGGCTCCTCCCTCACGTTTTTAGACTCACTTCCTTCTCCTGCCAGGCTCAGTTCAAACTTTACCTTTCCAATGAGGCCTTTTCTGACCATTTATGGAAAGTGGCATCCCTCATACCCCTCAATCCTTGTCAGATCATCTTTTTGTTTAATACTTACCACCAGCATCTCCAAAATGAATATTTTCTTCATTTATTGCGCTATTTCTGTCTCTCCCCTATTAGGGTAGAGGCTGTGTTTTTTTCACCCCTATGATATAGCTGGATGCATTAGGTCCTCAGAAAGAGTTTCCAGGATACCTGTTTTGAGTATTAGCAGAAAAGCATCTTGGGCCAGGTTATTTTTGGACCAAAGAAAACATCTATTTAGTCCCTACTATGTGCTGGGCATAATAAATCCATAACCTTCCCTTTAGAAGGAAAAATTAGCTCAAGGTCACAGGGCAGACTTCACTAGGAGACTACTGAGATAAATACTTGTTTGACTGCTAAACTCTGTCAGCTTTGCCCGTATCAAGAGGACTGTCACTCTACGATTCACTCTCACATTGTCATAACACAACCACACATATCTAAACTGTTGCTTCATGTCATTAAACCATTTTCACATTCATCTTTAAAATACAAAGCACTTGCTCAGAAAGTCATACAACAGGAAGTAAAGGTCCCTCAAGGATCAAACGCTGGAGCGGGGACTGGGGACGAGTTCAGCCAGCGGAGTCCATATATTTTGGTCAAGGAGGAATGGGGAAGCGGTGAGTCACGGGGTGAAGGCTTACAACATGGGAAGCTCTTGATGAGGCCAGGATATGAGGCAACAAAAAGTGAATCACAGAACAGGAAGACACCTTAGGCCTCGCAAAGGCCAAACTCTAGCAGGTAGATGCAGAAACTTAAGCCTCAAAAGGAAATACTCAAGTACACTCAGCAAATAAAGAGTCTCTTCTCCTTTCTTCCATCAAGGAGGCTTTTCAAGGAGACTCCAGAGTTAGGGGCAGGAGAGAATCAGCTCAGACTTCACCCAAGAAGCACAAATAGGTCAAGATGAGGGGCAGAAACGAGCCAAGAAGGGTACAGAGGCAGTGGCTGGGAACGAGCGTGAGGGCTTAGGAAGGAGAAAAAGGCGGAAGAGAAAAGGTACAAAGTAAGAATGAAGCAAAATGCTGAGATCTGGGTCTGAAGGGCCCGGCAAAGTGGGGAGATTTTGAGGGGAAAGAAGTGGAATGAGTTTGACAGTGGAAAGAGTCCAAGATTTGGGGAGTCTGAAGATAGTCACACGGGGAGGGGTCCTGGACCCGGAAAGGCAGGGAGCGAGTTCCCGGATTAGAGCAGACCGGGAGACGAGTCAGAGGAAGGTGGAGTCGGGCCCAGGGAACCTGAGGGGAAGAAGTAGGGTGTCTGATGGGGCCCAGCCGCCTCACCGCGCTTGTTTTTGGTTCCGTGTTTCTTGGCGGCCGTCAATTCCTGCTCGATCTTCTTCTCCAAGAACTCCTGTTTCTTGCTTAGCATCTCCTCCGTGTCCCGCAGCCGCTGGATGGCCTCCTGGGGGGTCGGGCCGCCCTTGCCGGCCTTACCCCCTCCAGACCCAAACAGCTTTCCAAACACCGACATGGTTTCTGTTCGCCGCGCCGGCCT